TTCACCAAAATTAAAAATTTTAATTTAATTTTTTATAGATTCCATTACAAACATTTTGAGAATACAACTGGTAGAGATTTTGACTATAGAAGTGCAGTTTTGGGTCACCTAAAAAATCTGAAAAATCGATCCTGAGCAATTCTGTAGTTGTCTCGCATTTCGACACTAATGCATGACAAGAATGAGTTCAAGTTGCTGTCAGTGGCAAAGATTTAATGCTTCTTGCTTACACCCTGTCCCCTTTTTTTTTTGTGTTTTGTTGCTCTCTTTATTGAGAAACAGCTGCCATCATAATTCAATATTTTACACCCGAATGTACACGGAACAGAACTTGACAGCGGCAACAACAAGGATCTGAGCAGCGAATGAAAATGTTTACACGCTGCTGAGTTGCTCAGCTGAGCTGCTGAGCACTTCGTACGCCAGCCAACGTACTGAACCGAACTGAATGAGTGACTTACCGAAGGCCGAGGCAGGGGAAAGGATCTCAAGAAGGCGCCAGCACGTCTCTTGAATGTCCTGGGTGACCGTAAGGAGGAGCAGCCGCAGTGCCTGTACTCTGTTCCCTCCACTGAAATGAAATAAGTCTGAAGGCTCAAGATTGTGAGACCATAATTGCCTAAACTTTATTTAAGAGTGACGCCTTTGAAATATTTATAATTATTGCAACTCAATCATTTTCTTTAAATAGTTCGTTGCACAATGTGTATGCTGTACTATTTAACATTTAGATCACAGTATCTTTAATTTTTCAGTGTAAATATTAAAGCCAGCAACAGGCAGCAGAACCAAAGACATGTCTGGATAGATTGTAGTCAAGGTAACCAAGTTGGCCAGCAGCCAGGGCTTTTGTTAGGGCCTGTTTACCGCCTACCGTGTGTTTGAAGTAATTAGCATAGTGTAGTTAATAATTACATTTAGGTCCCCCGCCCCAAATCATGAGGTTTCATGGCTGTCATGCCACGCCACGTCTCATTTAACATAATGATCCAAACTAAGTTGAAGTGTGGGTGCGCGTGGGGAAATGCCAGCCAGCAAATTCAATCAAAGATTCTCAGCTGCAGCAAAATGGCTTACCGCAAATGCCAAAAATAAGACCAGGCTTGCAGGTAAGCAGCAGCCAGAAAATGCTGCAGGAGGGCAACTGAAACCACAGACCTGGTGCCGTGCAGACAGCTGACTTTAATCTGTTTTGTGTCGGACGCATAGCAAACTGCATTTTCCGTGCAGAATATCCTTTTTATTTTTTTTATCAAACAAACGAATGGTAAACAAAATTAGTTAAAGGTCGGAGAAACGTTTTATTTCCTATTCTTTAACATAATGGATTTATTAAAAGAATTAAACCTTTTCCATATCCAATTAGCATAATGAATTCCAAGTTCATTGCTGTGTTTTTAATCTTTGAACACATCGCTTTAAGCTCTACATTTTATGGCCTGTCTGCTGTCTGGCTGCAATTTGCTGTCTTAAATTTAAGCGTCGGGACACCTGTGCGTATGAGCAATAATGTTTGAGAGAATATCACGCATTCGCCGCGTTTAACCTTTGGAAGAAATTGTGCGCTCAAAAAGCATTTTAAAGTCCTATTACACACAACAAAAACCACCAGAGCCACAACAATTTATATAGGGCACAGCTTCCCCTATCTGAGGAGACCGCAGTGAAAAACGGAAAAGTTTTTCAAGGCTCGATAAGAGTTTTTTAATTTGTCTAAAAAGGCGCGGGAAAGGTGCAGGAGTGCTGAGTGCTCTATATATATGTATGTTTGGGCGGGAGTCGTCGAGAGGGCGTGGTCCTGTTGAGAGGAGAACTTTTTAGGCGGCGTAATTTATGCACAATGGAAGCGTTTGGGATTAAGGGCACACAAAAACACCATCAAACGGGGCGTGGCAACGGCGTCGTCTGTGGCGCGGCGTAAAAAAGCAAGTGCCCCTTTCTCCTGTTTTTTTTGCAAGGCAGACAGGTGTAGCAGGCAAGCCGGAAAATTAGCGGAAAGCGTCAAAAGCGTTCCCCAAACGGCAATGTCGCGGCATGTCTAACCTTACCTACCGCCCCCTTCCCCATAATTTACCCTCCCACCGCCCCCTGTTTTTACTTGAGGACGTAGTTTTTTTGGCATAACCGCAAATAAACACTTGGGAAAACATTATAAAAATACATTTTCTAAAATAAACTATCAAAAATATAATTAGTCGATTTGTTTGATGACTTTAAGATTGATTATGCTTTAATATCTTAACGATTTTATGCTTATACCTTACTGAAAATGTATAATATATTAAGTATGTTTTTTTGAGTGCACCAACATCAGCTAACAAACTAACTGGTGCAAATGAGAGCGCAGTTTATGGCTTGTTGTTGTTGGTGCTGGCGATTCTGTTTCTGCTGCTGCTGCCATTTTTGTGTTGACAAATTCGCCGGCGGACAAGTTGGGTTTTTGTCTCTGCGTGCGGCTCTGCACCAGCAGTTTGTCTATGCGTTTGGCTTTTGGCCTGGTCCATGGCGTAATTACCTGGACTCTTGGCCATAATAGGAACACGTTGTTTGGCAGCTGCCTGGCGGCCACATCGGCTCACAGCAGAACGGAAACGAGCGTTTTGGGCATGATAACTTTGTCCTTAAAGTTGTGAATGGCGAAACAAGCGATGAGGGAGCATAACTTTTTTTGGCCGAATTTGTGTTTGAATTGGTTCGGAGGTAGTTGGTCGAACTAGCCGGGCTCAAAACACTTGATTAACTTGAAAGTTTGGTCGTTGCTCGAAAGCTTGCATGCAAAATTTTGTTCACAGTTCCCATTTGTAGCCAAAGTGTTTTCAAATGGGTTTTTAAATTGATTTAGCTTCCTGATAAAAGGATTAGTTTTAGTCAAAAAATGTTTAGGTTGATGCCCGGGAAAAGGGAAAAGAGGAACGTAACGTTACTTATTTAAACTCAAAGAATTACTTTGATGAATCCATTGCTAACGTTTTATTTAAAGAAAAAATTTAAAGTTGTTATTTGTGTTTTCTTTATTTTCGTTATGGTTTTTAGTCATGCATATCAAACGATTCATGGCCAGCGGATACCACCGAGATCCCCTTCTTATCCACGAGGCTTAAGTAGCCATTGTTTTTAGTGTTGTTATTGCGTTGAGTTTTTGCGTTGAGTTTTTGCTTTGTTTTGTTTGTTATTTTTTGGTTTATTTCTGGTTTGGCCTGCGGCTTTGGGCGGCTTAAAATTGGATTTGCGTTTCGCTTTGACATCGCTTGTTTTTGTTGCTTAGCCAGAGCTCTCTTTCTGCTTTTTAGAGATTTTGTTTCCACCTCCACACACTTGTAAAAATGTCACTTTAATAACTTTGTGTTGCTGTCTTGTCTTTCCTGTATTTTTTCTGGTTTTTTGGCTTTTATTTGGTTATTTTTTGTAGCACGTTTTAATTGCCCTTGCAGCAGCTGGCCACAATTCTCCTTTTGGTTTTTGCTCTTATTCTCCTTTTATTGTTGTATTTTTAGACGTGCCACAAATCCCCAACAGCCGAAAACAAGGGAAGAAAAAAAAATGGCCAGAAACAGAAACATTTCGTTTTTATGACTGCCAAACATGAAAGACACCAGTAACAATGCGAACAATGTGTGAGATTTCGCACGTCGTTATATATAGCAATAAAATGCTACAAAAATTAGTCTTAGAGAGGAAACAATTTTGAAATTGGGGAAAACTCAAATTGTAAATTATAATTTGATTTCATAAATGCGGGCTCCATTGTGTGGCGGCAGGAACACGCAAATAATTTCCCATCTTCCCCGACCAGAGGTCAAAGTTGAGGCATTCCGGCCCCCTTTTCCACTCTCTGTTGGAGGCATTAAATTAGCAGTCTGTTTGCCAGTGCTTCCCCCTCGTTTCGACCAACTTTTCTTGGTAAGCTGCTTAGGAACTGCAACAGAAATATAACAAAGTTTCGCCAAAGTCCACCGCAAAGTTATGGCCACACAAAAGTTAATTCTGAATGGCTGCGCCTGTCGCTATGCAGCACATTTCCCACAGACACAGGGTAGCACAAGGACTATTTGCAAACGGCTTTCAATAATTTATCCTCTTTTGCTGTTTTCATAACTGAATCTGATTTTGCTCTCAAGTTATTGTCAAGACATCGACAAGGTGAATCAGATACCGTTGAGAGTCTGCACTTTCCTAAAATGTTGCCAAAGCTGACAACCTCAAGCATTTTATTCAATGGGGACTCAGTTGAAAGTATTTGTAATTTTGTAACAGCATCAAATTTTTACGTTATAAGAGGTATCGCTTCTTCTTTCTATCGCTTTAAAAATATTTTTCAATTACACGCAGAATATAACAAACAACACGATGGCTATAAAATGTTCTCGTAATTATTTGCACAAAATGCTTAATTGTTTGCGTTTTACAGCGAATTTCGTTGAGCGCCCCTGGCAAATATTGACGTTCATCAATGGGTGTGCTTGTGTGGAAGGAAGTTTTCCCGCTGGCGGAAAAATTATCGCACAGCGTGTGAAAAAAGTGGAAGCCCCCGCTCTCTTTGTGGTTTTTGTTGTTGTTTGGCATTTCAATTAAATAAATAGGCTTATTTTTTATGGAGCGCAGCAGCGGCCGCGCCAAGGAAATTTAAATAACGAACGCGAAAAAAATGGCGCTTGAAATTTGTGTATGTACTTTGTACACTGTGAATAAGTGAGTGTGTGGAATGTCTGTCGAAGCATTGAACCAGTTTCAAAAGACACACACTGAAGAGAAAAGGGGACGGTGAAGCTGCAGCTTTTAGCCAAGTCTCTGGTTGTACATAAAAAAGTCAACAGACAAACAAACAACGTGTAAATTATGAAAAATGTACCAACAAAGCAGCATAAGCACGCATACACGGGAACTCAGTTTGAATACAGGCTTTTTTTCACTATGGTGGCCAGCTAAATAGAATGTTCAGCTCACTGACTTTTTATATTTGGAATTGTAAATTATTAAAATTTTTATAAAAAGCGCTATGATTACTTCATAAAACATTGTGTGCTTAAATATTTAATTAATAAAATATTTCGAATCGTAAATGTTACATAAGGCTGCATTTCTAAATTCACGTCAAGGGTAGAAGCCAATCACCTCTGCATCGGAGTCAGTTGAACGGTCTCTCGGTGGCTCATTTCTGATGGCTTCTACGGGCTCGTTTTCCCAGTCAATGTGAACCTGATTTCGCATCAGCTCCTGGAGGCGGATCCGCTCGTGTTTCTCGTCATCGGACAGGGGACTACTCTCGAGGTTTGAACGGTTAGAATGGGATCTTTGCTGCATTTGTAAAGTTGGCAACGGATACAAATAGGGAATCAAAGAGCTGATCAGCTCCGCATCCGGCATTAGATGTCCACTGTGGCTGCTCGAATCTCTTGCGTCATTTGATTCTGGATAATAGCTCGATGGTAGCATACTCGAAAATAAATCGGCCATAGTGGATGCGATAGGGCAATGTATGAAGCGAACTATATTTTGTATATTTTTTTTGGGTTTATAAGTTTTTCTGGTTATGTGAATTTCGATAAGAAATTTTGAAGACGAGTAAAGCAGACAGCTGGAATACGCCTACAAACTCCAAGCCCCTTACGTTGAATTTCAATGAAAGGAACGTTGAGTTTTGCTCTTAAAGATGTATCTTGGCAGTAGATTTGAAAAGATAAATTATTAAAATGATCTATTTTCATGCTTAATATAACGAAACCATTGATATGTGAAGAGGTCGACCTATTAACGTGCCAGCGACTGTACCATATGTACATTCAGAATTACTGCGTCTCGTTAGCCACCGACTGAGCCTGGTCTACCTTTGCGCAGCTAGTCTTTTTTTTTTTTTTTTTTTTTTGAATAGACCCTGTCCAACGATGTAGGCAACAGCAATAACCCATCTCACACGCTTTCCGCTCCTGACTGCCCCTCATCCTTCCTGTTTCAAGCCCCACCCCACCTATACGTATACTCGTATCCCTCCTACCTGAAAAATGCGCACCTGTTTTGTTTATTTTGACTGCGCTGTTGTTGCAGTATCCGCTTCAATCGCGTTGCTGTTGCTTCTGCGGTCCGGAATTTACTCCTGTTTGGTGTTTTTGTTGTTTCAGCCCAGATGTGCCGCCATGTTGTGCATTTAAAGTGCAGCTCATCCCCCGTCCCCCCTTTTTGTGCCCAACAAAATCCAAGGTAGCACTTTTAAGCACGTTTCAGGATCATTTGCTCACATCATTCGCATTAAGTTTTAAGTTGTAAAACATGGGGTGTATAAAAACAAGGCAGGTGTCAGCTTTTATATCTTTTAAAATCTTTATATGCACCACAAAAGATACAAGGTATTTTTTTGTGAATACTAAATTTACATTTAAATACTAATACAAAAATTTCTTAACAAATTGAAAAAGCTATAATTTGCATTTAAAGAGTACTACAGAGACAGACCATAAATTGGAACAAACCCAGAAATTAAAACCAGATAAAGTGGAAAAGGACGTATTTGTCCTGCCCCCTCACGGACAATTGCGGGTCATTTCTGTTAAGGAACTCATTACAAAGTATGTCCGCTGGCGATTGAATGGATTTGAGCATTCCGCAGTGAGCTGAAAAAGGCAACTTTAACTGCAACTTTGACTGCGGGTTACGCTTAATTAAATGCCCAAGCATCAGAGCGAAGGGGGAGCCAAGTAAATACCCAATGCCGGGGAGTAAGCCGAGTTAGTTTCCTTTTGTTTGTTTGGAAAACCCCTCTCAAGTCCAACCGCCCATTGACAATGCAAGCCGGGGCTAATCAGTTGAGAAAATTTCTGTGAGATGGCTAAAACCAAACAAAGAACAAAAACTCGGACCCTTTGGGGGCTGCCTTAATTAGCGCTGCAAACAAAGGAAACTTTCTGAGTCCGAGAAACGTTGGGTCAAAAGTGCCAATACAATGTGTAAATATAAATGAGCAGTGGTGCAAAAGCGTTCTTAATTATTACGCATCATTGGAGACGGGCGGCGGTGAAAGTGGGTGAGAAATGCCGGAAAATGCCGGAAAAGATACCCCGAAGTCAGAGACGGTGTCGGTGATTTCCGCAAGGTAAATGACAGACGGCTTAAGTTATTAATATATTTCCGCCGACTTCGTAATTCGACATCAATCAAGCCAACCGACGTTGGCCTTATTTAATGGCCTCCAAATTAATCGCATTTATATTGAGATTGATTGGGGCCAAATGCATTGGCTTTCGAAACGTGAAAAATACCAATTTTTCCCAGTTTTTCATGGGGCAATTAAAATGTTTGTTCTACATGTGCTGACAATGCTTGAAAGAGAAATTAACAGGGAAATGTTTATTTGCCGCCCCGGCAAGAGAAAAGCAAATGCAGCAAGTGTAAAACGAGCTCAACAAATTTGTGCTCGAAATAAAAAAGAGTGGTTCGGGGGCGAGGATAAAAAGTGGAGCAATAAATTTGTACTTTTATCACCATAGAATACATTTTTGTGCCTGTGCTCATGGCTTTATAAGGCTGTTTACCGTTTGTTTCATAGATTTAAATACAAAATAAATAATACATTGTTGTTGTTTTAAAGCGTTTAATGCTTTCATTATGCTTTCTCACTATTAAATTCCAGAAACTGAGGACTTCCCTACGTATTCATAAGTGGTTTAGTAGTTTAGAACTTCTATGGAAACCTTTTAGGGACCCCAAACTGAAGATACAACCCTTAACTAACCACAATAATTCAATTATGAGCGACCACATTTTAGTGCCCCTTCCTCCCAGCAACGACAAATTGAATAACTTGAAGGTCTTCCGGTTTTGGCCTTTTGCCCGGGATTACAAAGCTTTCAAAAGTCCCAACTCCGCTGCCAGCTGAAGTGTTTCGGTACCAAGTTATTTTAGTGGGAAAAAGTTTTTAGTGTTTTAGGCCTACAACAACTGCCGGCAATTTAACTAAAAGCGGTCGTAACCATTTAAAAGGTGTTCGGTTCTCAAACGGCCATCAGCCAGACCATCAACATTTATGCGGCTACTTGTTCAACAGCACAAAACTCACTTATTCGCAGCGAAAAATTCCAATCGAAATCGTTTTGGCGCTGAATCCATTTAATAACCGACATAAATACTGTTCAAGACGCTTTACGACTTGAGTGCGCCGCAGGAAACTACTGCCAGCATCAAGAATGAAACTTTCCCACTGGCACAAAGATAAATATGTTTAGCTACAGATATGCTCAAAAGAATAGTATTTGCATATGGCTTTTATAAAGCTCTTGGTAGCTGCTATTATCTGTATGGCAAAGTCTATAGCGAAAGTAAGGTCATATTAGTGTATTAAAAGCCATTTTAATCTATCATAACTTATAAACTAATGTTTTCGAATACTACTTTGTTGAACTCGTCTGTGCATCTCTGAGGAAATACGATTTCGTGTGAATATAATTCTATGCAAATGTGTTCTGCGCGTCAATTCCCGCAGCGACACTTTATGATATTTACACGAAGCAATTGAGAGGGAGGAAACCGAGAGTACGAGAATATTTAAAATATTTTTGCTGATTAATCTTAGCTTTTAGTTCGATCTGTCCTTGACCCAGTATAACTCGCCATCGAACGGCTCGTTCGATCTGCTAAGCGGATTAAGCCTCCTGTATGGGTCATAAAATCCAATGTAACAACCATAAATAGTGGCAACAGTTTTCTCGTTTTCTTCCCCTTTAACGGCTGCCAAATTGAGTTGAAACGAAGGCATATTATTGTGTAATTGCATTTTATTGCCATAAATAAATGTTCTCAATGGGCTGGCCGACATTTAAAATGCATGCATCTACCATCTCGTCTCAATTAGGACACAAACGGCTGCAAGTGCAGTTGAAATATTTAAGCAATTTCCGCAAGATTTCTTAATTAAAAAGTTGCTCCTTCTTGGAAGCTCCAACTCGCATCCTTCGCGTTCGCCGAGGTGTCAGCAACAATGAAAATATTTTCTACTTACCAGCCAGCCAAAGTGTTTTGGTATTTTCGCTTACCCTTCGCTCGGCAATTTGCTTTTGCACATTTTTCTTCATTTACTTTGAAGCGAAATCTACGAAATTTCATTTGCAGTTATGTGCTGCTATTTTCCCACCCGACATAGAAAGCTAGAATTCAACACGGCACACGTTCTGGCCAGTCACTGGCCTAAAATATTTACCGAGCGCTTCACATCGGACGCATAGTCAAACAATTTGGGCCCGGACTTGGGATTTCCCCGAAAAGAAATATGTACACAGTCCGAAGTTATTATAGTTGCCCGTCTAGAGGAAGTCGGGACCCGTGCTTCCTACTCAGTTTGTTTTCTGCCTTCTCTAATGCCATTTTACTGACTTCAGTTGAGCCGAAAGTGCCTACTGCGAAAATTGTCCATTGTCCAACGGAATTTTCAGCACGCTTCACTAACTTGACTGAATGTTGTCGAAAACAATTTTTCTATTGCATATTTTTTAGACGAACTCCTTTCTAGGGGTTGCAAGAATTGCAGATAAGCTTAATCAAATTTGATTCTAAAATATATACAAAATCATGATAAATTTATCTGGAACTAAAAGCATCTATATTTGTAAGATAGTAGTTAAATTGATAACACACTTTTCGAGAAATAAAAAATCCTTTGATTTAAGGGTATTGAAAACTTTTTCTTTACTAGTTGAACTTTACCTTGCTCTCAGACTCTTTCCGCCCCACTTCCTCTTCTCTTGGGACAGGTCAATGCGTTTCAAAAACTCTCTTGTTATTGCCCATAAAATTTGCTTGCCCTTGGCATGAGAAAGCTATCAAGCGGAACGTAAAGAAAGTAGGTGAGTGGCAGAGATATACTAAATATACATAAGAGGGAAACTTAAGCCGTGTCCCTCAGTCCCTGGCGTATGGTAATTGCATTTTAAATGGCTGCATTTTGCTGCGTCTGCGTATGGAACGTTGATTTAGGGGTAACCTCAGCACGCACATGTTGCCACATGGCCGCAAAATATGGTAAATTAATTCAATATTAAGCAATCAAATATTGTCGCCACATCATCAAATGCTGCGGCCTCCAACGTCAATAGCTGTGTGTGACTTGTGGTATTATGTTTGTATTTGCAGACGCCTTCAATTAGACTATGGCAAATTGAACAGCAGCTGAGCGGAGTGGAGATGTAGATTCAATAAGAGATTGCCTCGGCTTGAATGGATTGCAATCAATGACACAGGGGGCGTCATAGAAATTCATCTAACAATGCGCAGCGCCGCGTTTATTACATTCTGCCGCCACGCCCACATATGATTGGCTGCCCATTTTGGCATTGCTGTAGCTCGCCTTCCTGCATTTTTATTAATTTTCCAGCAGCTGCCACTGGCTGTGCCGCTTTCCTTTCGCTTTTCCGTTTTCCGGTTCGCTTTTCCCCGCTCAAGTGTTGGATTTTTGCATGTTCGCCGCCTGTATGCGACAAAAGAATTTAATTAAAACGCGTAGCCGGGCATTGTCCTCCGGACTTCGCTGATGTGTCCTGGCAAAAGGATTAAGACGCTGCTGGGGTAATTTCAATGGAATAAGATTGCACCTAGAGGTAATGGTCTTGACTTTTGTT